GCCATTGAAACCAGTCCACTCTACGAAATATGCTGGTGCTATGGTTCTTATATCTGCGGTCCGATGTCAATCAGATGTGTCTATTTAACAAGACACCATGGATGGAGTGGAATCAAAGTGTCTGAAAGAAAATGAGTTTCTGAATAAGGTCTATATTGCTGATAACAACTGCGTTATACGAGTTAAAAAAACGGTTTGGTTAATTAACTAAAAATCTGCTAGTGGAGTTGGCCGAATTACTAGAACAATCTCTTGAAGCTGCTGCCTAGCAAGCCAAATAAATACAGGAAACTGAAAACGGGCGCGTAATAACAGTGCGGCATGATTCTGTTTGTAATTTAAGAACTATGGAGCGTCAAAGTCTCATTCATCATTCATTTTCGAAATGCAACATTCCTTTACCGTAGGAAAGGGCAGCTGCTTTAACAGACCACTCCAGTGATCCTGATCAAGAACGTACAAGCTAAATTTAATTCACGATGGCACGGAATGATGAAAATGGCCTGTCTATGCATTACCTTCATCATGGACTGCTCTAAAACACAACGTAATTGTGAAACTGTCACCTAATATACAACGAAGACGATCCCTTATTCAAAGATGAACGTCATGCATTGAAGGATATACATTCGTTACTCTCAGTTATATCTATAAACACGTCGTCCATCAAGGATTCTTCTCGTGAAAATCTTTATATTTACGTGAATACGTAAATATTTTTACAGCAGTGCAAATTTCGAACCTTAACAGCGCTTCCGGGAGCAGAGCTCGCTTCGAATACTTTTGCAAAAACAGCAGACCTCGTAATCACCATGGTGCTTCCGCTGTCTTTGAAATACCTCGTCAATTCATCTGAAATGCAGTGAAATTTTTCAAAATTGAAAAGAAGACCAAAATGTACATAAAATAACAAATTCAGATAAGAATTTAAAGAATAATTGTGCAGTACAAAGCAAAATTTTTAAAGTAGTAGTAACTTCTTAAAAAGAAGTTTTTAAGGGGACCGAGGCGCTGACTTTCGACCAAAGTTTATAAACATTTACTTAAGAATTTTTTCTTTTATTTCTGTTTACATTCAGGCAGTGCACAATCAGTGTTGAGTCTGAAGCGAGATCAGCAAGCAACGATTTTGCGTCTCAAGGAGGCGGGCGGGCCACCTATTGGTAGCGTCCAGTCTGGTGTCTCTATCCTCCCAGGATTTAGTGCCGGTGCCCATGACTGTTCTGACTGCATTAGAATTTTTGCGATAATAGGGCAAAGTCGCAAGAATATAGCAAACGAGAGACGACTTCAAACAATATACATTTATCATCACTTTAATCATGTGCAATTGTATTAATTAATAGATTATTTAAAGTACGTAATTGTTTCATATATTACTGATCATATTTAATCGTCCACAGTATTCGTCATTCAGAAAAACCGACAGAACAACTGCACCATGGTTAACCCTACCTACGGGTGGCTCGTCACTTTGAGATGCAAGATCTTGACGGATATGGCTTCGGATTCAACAGCGGTTGCGCACTTCCTGAATGTTAACTAAACTATTTTAATAATTAAACTAAAAAATCAATGGTCTTCATGTTTCTTAAGCAGTTGTTCCGCATATCACTGCACCTTGACAACGACCTGAGTATGACTCGAAACGTCGGTAATTTGTGTAATAAAATGTACATGCACAACAATCCCGTAAAAAGCATGAAAACCGTGGAATTAATATCAGAATAAAAGAATGAATGTTCACTTCTCATGAAAAAATTCATTTAAATAAATTAATTTTTGTTAACTTCAATCTAAAACTACTAGCAAGCCTCTTGAAAGATTCTTTGGAAAAACACCAACTACTTTGAAAAGTATCGAGAAAACTTCGAAAATAATTCTATCAAAAAATAGAACCTCCTCAACTCTGTTTTCCTATTCTCTACTGAAACGAAGTTGGTCTCGCATTTAATCTCAGAAAATTAAGTCAAGAAAAATTCACTCAACAGGTTATGAATTTTCAAGTGAGCAAGAAAATATTACTACAAACCAAACGCCAGTCTCACCATATCTTTTAAAAAACAACGGTCTCTTTCTGTAAGTACGTTAATTTGTAGCAAAGAGATGGAGACGTCGCTGGCTAGGTATTATTACGGTGATTTTGGGCATCAGACACTGAAGTCTGGCGGTTCAGCTGGACCTAAATATAGTCTATAACTATCACCTCTTTAAGCTTCGGATTCTAGAGGACTATTCTTTGCCATTTACCGCGTGAATCTAACTGCGTTGTATTTACCCCACTGCCATTCGAATATCTGCATTGCAACCCAGCTATGAATTATACGAGGAAATTTTCTCCTGCTGAACGTCTGCAGGAGCCGTAAACCCTCTGTCAAAAACGTTCAAGAATAACACCTCGCAACAACTAATATTAATAAAGAAAACATGATTTACTGACTGCAGACTATTTACGACGCCACCGGCTGGAATAAAATATAAGTCTTCCTGACTTACAAGCTTCATCGTACTCCTTTTGCTTCTAGAAGCCAATGGAATTTTGTAAAATACATGATCTAAGGCATTACAGCGTTCACCATTGCCTGCTTAAAAACGATCCCTTTAAAGTCTTTAGAAGAATGAAAATGGTGTGATTAACGACAAAAATCTGAGAAGATAAGCGTATCTAAAACTCAGTCTTCTTGAGTTTCAAGGCTTCATTTCCATGTAAATCAACCAGCATATGAACACAGTGTTTATAGAAAACTTCTCTAAATATCCTGAAAAAATTGACCGATGAACGAGAACGATAACCACATAACGGATAAATAAAGCTCTTTTCTTAATGAATTAGTGCTTTTACCAAGAGCACATCGATCGTCATTTGGGTAGAACGAACGAAACGAGCGAATGAATAAATGAATGAATGGACAGACGAACTAATGAACGAAGGAAATGAATGAAACCAATTTCCGACTGAAAGAGCAAATATAATTGTATCTAACAGTTTGAGAAACTTGAACTGAAATGAGAAGCGAGGATCATCCTTAAACTTCTACAATTTGGTAATTATTGCGAAACTTTGTTGGAGCTTACCAGTTGTAAAAGCGGGACTTAAACATGTAGCAATACCCCCGTCAGCAAAAATTGCCAACAGGCAAGTGGCGAACTCCGGACAGTTCGGTAGGACCAAAGCCACAACGGTTTCCTTTCGCAAACCTATGTGATGGAGATAGTTCGCAGACGAGATAGTGTGACAAAGGAACTGCCGAAACGTGTACGTTTTCCCTGTTTCGGCAGAGATCTAAATACAAGTTCCGCTTAGCACTGCCGCGCCGCGCCATACCACAGAACAAGGTACCATGCAAATTCCTTCGGGGTCATGCTTCCTGAGATGATCAAGGACAAGCTGGTGGACAGGAACCACGGCCAGCGGAATGTCAGGACCGCCATTCTGCACTGCCATCGTTAAACAATACACTAGCCTAAACGAAAAATCTCACAAATACTCTGACTTAAAAGCGAAAGCATTGTAATTCGATGGTTTACGCTCGGTTTGGAACACATCAACAGATCGATCATGAATGAAACAGATAAGTAAACAAAGTACGCATGGCGGCATAGGTTGCATAAAGCATATTAACTCTTAATAACATGACTCATTTCGATGAGCTGTCGCGAATCGCCTGTGTTCGTAATTATAGCAAGTGTTAGCACTGCAAGCACGTATATGGGAACAGCTTGGTCGAACATCAAGCCATCAACCCTTGTACATGCAGGTAATTGTGCCATATCCCCATGGAATGCCCTTTCCTTGAATAACGGTCTTGTCGATCTTGGTTACCCTGGCATCGCTTATCTGTCGTCTCCGTGTTAATAGCAAGGATCACGATTGGCGACTGCAGTCAGATATCAGGAGTAGACTAAATCACTTCCCAACTTGACGTGCGTCCCTACACTTTGGTGACGATTCGTTTGCTGCGAGGGGGCGTTGAGATCAGATTCTTAACAGCAACAACGACAGGAATCGTACAAAGTTTCTTTATTCGTGCACGACACAGGTCAATCAGCCAGGTTCGAAGTCATTCAACATTTCAAACAGTTGTATTTTAACTTGACAAAATTTACCTCCATTCGTAAATTTACAAGA